ATTCAAAGGTTTTTCTTTATTTGTACTATTTTTTACATTGTAGAATAATAGTGAAGACATCAAAACTATGAAATAACACATATGGAAACATGTAGTAACCAAAAAAGTGTTAAACAAATCAAAATATATGTTATATTTGAGATTCTTCAAATAGCCACCCTTTGCCTTGATGACAGCTTTGCACACTCTTGGCATTCTCTCAACCAGCGTCACGAGGTAGTCACCTGGCATGCATTTCAATTAACAGGTGTGCCTTCTTAAAAGTTAATTTGTATGTATGTATATATATATATATATATATATATATATATATATATATATATATATGTGTGTGTGTGTGTGTGTGTGTGTGTGTGTGTGTATATATATACACTACCGTTCAAAAGTTTGGGGTCACTTAGAAATGTCCTTGTTTTCCATGAAAACATACATGAAATGAGTTTGAATAGGAAATATAGCAAAATGAATAGGAAATGTAGTCATTGACAAGGTTAGAAATAATCATTTTTAATATACATTTTTGTCAAAGAATCCTCCATTTGCAGTAATTACAGCCTTGCAGACCTTTGGCATTCTAGTTGTCAATTTCTTCAGGTAATCTGAAGAGATTTCACCCCATGCTTCCTAAAGCACCTCACACAAGTTGGATTGGCTTGATGGGCACTTCTTACATACCATACGGTCAAGCTGCTCCCACAACAGCTCAATAGGGTTGAGATCCGGTGACTGTGCTGGCCACTCCATTATAGACAGAATACCAGCTGACTGCTTCCTCCCTAAATAGTTATTGCATAGTTTGGAGCTGTGCTTTGGGTCATTGTCCTGTTGTATGAGGAAATTGGCTCCAATCAAGCGCCATCCACAGGGTATGGCATGGCGTTGCAAAATGGAGTGATAGCCTTCCTTCTTCAAGATCCCTTTTACCCTGTACAAATCTCCCACTTTACCACCACCAAAGCACCCCCAGACCATCACATTGCCTCCACCATGCTTGACAGATGGCATCAAGCACTCCTCCAGCATCCTTTCATTTGGTCTGCATCTCACAAATGTTCTTCTTTGTGATCCGAATACCTCAAACTTCGATTTGTCTGTCCATAACACTTTTTACCAATCTTCCTCTGTCCTGTGTCAGTGTTCTTTTGCCCATCTTAATCTTTTCTTTTTATTGGCCAGTCTGAGATATGGCTTTTTCTTTGCAACTCTGCCTAGAAGGTCAGCATCCCGGAGTCGCCTCTTCACAGTTGACATTGTTTGGTGGGTACTACTTAATGAAGCTACCAGTTGACGACCTGTGAGGCATCTGTTTCTCAAACTAGAAACTAATGTTTTTGTCCTCTTGCTCAGTTGTGCACCGAGGCCTCCCACTCCTCTTTCTATTCTGGTAGTTTCCGCTGTTCTGTGAAGGGAGTAGTACACAGCGTTGTACAAGATCTTTAGTTTCTTGGCAAGTTCTCGCATGGAATAGCCTTCATTTCTCAGAACAAGAATAGACTGACAAGTTTCATGAGAAAGTTATTTGTTTCTGGCCATTTTGAGCCTGTAATCAAACCCACAATTGCTGATGCTCCAGATACTCAACTAGTCTCAAGAAGGCCAGTTTTATTGCTTCTTTAATCAGCACGGCAATTTCCAGCTGTGCTAACATCATTGCAAAAGGGTTTTCTAATGATCAATTAGCCTTTTAAAATGATAAACTTGGATTAGCAAACACAACGTGCCGTTGGAACACAGGACTGATGGTTGCTGATAATGGGCCTCTGTACGCCTACAGTGAGGGAAAAAAGTATCTGATCCCCTGCTGATTTTGTACGTTTGCCCACTGACAAAGAAATTATCAGTCTATAATTTTAATGGTAGGTTTATTTGAACAGTGAGGGACAGAATAACAACAACAAAAAATCCAGAAAAATGCATGGCAAAAATATTATAAATTCATTTGCATTTTAATGAGGGAAATAAGTATTTGACCCCCTCTCAATCAGAAAGATTTCTGGCTCCCAGGTGTCTTTTATACAGGTAACGAGCTGAGATTAGGTGCACACTCTTAAAGGGAGTGCTCCTAATCTCAGCTTGTTACCTGTATAAAATACACCTGTCCACAGAAGCAATCAATCAATCAGATTCCAAACTCTCCACCATGGCCAAGACCAAAGAGCTCTCCAAGGATGTCAGGGATAAGATTGTAGACCTACACAAGGCTGGAATGGGCTACAAGACCATCACCAAGCAGCTTGGTGAGAAGGTGACAACAGTTGGTGCGATTATTCGCAAATGGAAGAAACACAAAATAACTGTCAATCTCCCTCGGCCTGGGGCTCCATGCAAGATCTCACCTCGTGGAGTTGCAATGATCATGAGAACGGTGAGGAATCAGCCCAGAACTACACGAGAGGATCTTGTCAATGATCTCAAGGCAGCTGGGACCATAGTCACCAAGAAAACAATTGGTAACACACTATGCCGTCAAGGACTGAAATCCTGCAACGCCCGCAAAGTCCCCCTGCTCAAGAAAGCACATATACAGGCCCGTCTGAAGTTTGCCAATGAACATCTGAATGATTCAGAGGAGAACTGGGTGAAAGTGTTGTGGTCAGATGAGACCAAAATCGAGCTCTTTGGCATCAACTCAACTCGCCGTGTTTGGAGGAGGAGGAATGCTGCCTATGACCCCAAGAACACCATCCCCACCGTCAAACGTGGAGGTGGAAACATTATGCTTTGGGGGTGTTTTTCTGCTAAGGGGACAGGACAACTTCACCACATCAAAGGGACGATGGACGGGGCCATGTACCGTCAAATCTTGGGTGAGAACCTCCTTCCCTCAGCCAGGGCATTGAAAATGGGTCGTGGATGGGTATTCCAGCATGACAATGACCCAAAACACACGGCCAAGGCAACAAAGGAGTGGCTCAAGAAGAAGCACATTAAGGTCCTGGAGTGGCCTAGCCAGTCTCCAGACCTTAATCCCATAGAAAATCTGTGGAGGGAGCTGAAGGTTCGAGTTGCCAAACGTCAGCCTCGAAACCTTAATCATTTGGAGAAGATCTGCTAAGAGGAGTGGGACAAAATCCCTTCTGAGATGTGTGCAAACCTGGTGGCCAACTACAAGAAACGTCTGACCTCTGTGATTGCCAACAAGGGTTTTGCCACCAAGTACTAAGACATGTTTTGCAGAGGGGTCGAATACTTATTTCCCTCATTAAAATGCAAATCAATTCATAACATTTTTGACATGCGTTTTTCTGGATTTTTTTTATTGTTATTCTGTCTCTCACTGTTCAAATAAACCTACCATTAAAATTATAGACTGATCATTTCTTTGTCAGTGGGCAAACGTACAAAATCAGCAGGGGATCAAATACTTTTTTCCCTCACTGTGTGTAGATATTCCAAAAAAATTGTTTTTCTTTCGAAAACAAGTCCATTTCTAAGTGACCCCAAACTTTTGTATTCAGACCCTTTGCTATGAGACTCGAAATTGAGCTCAGGTGCATCCTGTTTCCATTGATCATCCTTGAGATGGAGTCTACCTGTGGTAAATTCAATTGATTGGACATGATTTTGAAAGGTACACACCTGTCTTAATAAGGTCCCACAGTTGACAGTGCATGTCAGAGCAAAAACCAAGCCATGAGGTTGAAGGAATTGTCCGTAGAGCTCCGAGACAGGATTGTGTCGAGGCACAGATCTGAGGAAGGGTACCAAAAAATGTCTCAGCATTGAAGGTCCCCAAGAACACAGTGGCCTCCATCATTCTTACATGGAAGAAGTTTGGAACCACCAAGACTCTTCCTAGAGCTGACCGCCAGGCCAAACTGAGCAATCGGGGGAGAAGGGCCTTGGTCAGGGAGGTGACCAAGAACCCGATGGTCACTCTGACAGAGCTCCAGAGTTCCTCTGTGGAGATGGGAGAACCTTCCAGAAGGACAACCATCTTTGCAGCACGTTTTTCGATACTGGCCCCCCGTGGGAACCGAACCCACATCCCTGGCGTTGCAAGCGCCATGCTCTACCAACTGAGCTACAGGATGGCTATCAGGCCTTTATGGTAGAGTGGCCAGACAGAAGCCACTCCTCAGTAAAAAGCACCTGACAGCCCGCATGGAGTTTGCCAAAAGGCACCTAAAGGACTCGCAGACCATGAGAAACAAAATTGAACTCCTTGGCCTGAATGCCAAGTGTCACATCTGGAGGAAACTTGGCACCATCCCTACGGTGAAGCATGTGGTGGCAGCATCATGCTGTGGGGATGTTTTTCAGCAGCAGGGACTGGGAGACTAGTCAGGATCGAGGAAAAGATGAACGGAGCAAAGTACAGAGAGATCCTTGATGAAAACCTGCTCCAGAGTGCTCAGGACCTCAGACTGGGGTGAAGGTTCACTTTCCAACAGGACAACGACCCTAAGCACATAGCCAAGACAACACAGGAGTGGCTTCGGGACAAGTCTCTGAATGTCCTTGAGTGGCCCAGCCAGAGCCCGGACTTGAACCCGATCTAACATCTCTGGAGAGACCTGAAAATAGCTGTGCAGCAACGCTCCCCATCCAACCTGACAGAGCTTGGGAGGATCTGCAGAGAAGAATGGGAGAAACTCCCCAAATACAGGTGTGCCAAGCTTGTAGCGTCATACCAAAGAAGACCCGAGGCTGTAATCGCTGCCAAAGGTCCTTCAACGAAGTACTGAGTAAAAGGTCTGAATATTTATGTAAATGTGGTATTTCCATTTTATATTTTTAATAAATTAGGAAACATTTCTATAAACCTATTTTTGCTTTGTCATTATTGTGTGTAGATTGATGAGGGACAAAAACAATTTAATCAATTTTAGAATAAGGCTGTAACCTAACAAAATGTGGAAAAAGTCAACGGGTCTGAATACTTTCCGAAGGCACTGTTATTATCTGTTATTTGTTCTACGGTCTATTTATGGTGTCACATCATGAAATGGTTTGATACATGATGTATTGATAATACTGTACATTTCAGTGACCTGTAGGTGCAAGAATATCTCTTCACGTTATGGACACTGTGTCACATCCCAAGGTAATGACAGAACAATTCCAACTACTAAGATTTTGTTCAGATGCATTTGAGAGGGTTGATAAGTCTTTGTTGTGACAATCTAGTTGCTCTTTTGAACCTTTCTTTTCAGACGGAGTCCGTGAATTAGTTTGCTTTGTACCTCTGGGCTTAAGTATGATTGCCTGGGAATGTGTGTGGACACCTAGAAAACACACTGTCTACCAAACACACAGATACACACTCATTATAGAACAGTAAGTTGTATCAACAGAATGAAATATAACACAGTAATTTAATGTATCTCTGTGGTTTTATTATATCATTTGATTGTTTGCGTTTAGGGTGCACTGTAGACTAGGCAGAATAGCAAAAAATATACATAATTAATTGAAATAAAATACTAAATTCTATTCAATTTGATATTCTTCACAGGAAAAACTCTTGCAAAATGTATGCAAACATATCAGGGACATCTCAGACTATTAGTCTGTCCAAAAAGCTTAACATGACGGCTCATGTGTTTGACGAGAGTGATCCGAAGAGCTGTACAAAGTCCTTTTTCAGAGGTTCACCTAAAAAATTGGGTATGTTTATGTTAATCATCTATGCATTTATTCACTTCCATTATGTGATAGAAGGATAGCCTATGGGATTACAGCAAGCATAATATGTGACCAGTCCAATTTGTATATTGTTGAATACAAAATATAGTATGACAATGATACGTTATCACATGTTGTCCTAACATTGCAGTTCGATGCGGCCCCCCATCTAATGTACACTTCAATCGCCATTCAAGACAGCTGGATATCCAGGCCTCCTGGAGGAAGGAGGAGAACAAATATATTGCGCTGTACTCTGTGAGATACAAGAACCTGACGAGCGAGTCATGGAAAGAGGTGGGCTTTAAAAGTCAGATCTGAAGGGTACTGTCTGCCTGCAGCTCATATAGAGACACAGGTAACTGCCAAAATAAAGGAAACACTTGAGTAAATGAGCAGGTACTTCCACACAGTTGTGGTTCCTGAGTTGATTAGGCAATTAACATCCCATCATGCTTAGAGTCATGTATAAAAATATCCCAGTTGCCCATTATTATGGCTACCATGGCTAGAATAATATATCTCAGTGACTTTGAAAGGGGGTCTCAAAGGACCATAGGTGGTTTAAAGGATGTGTGTGTGTGTGTCTGATTTTGGTTTTACTACCCTTGTGGGGACCAGAAGTCCTCACAAGGATAATAAAACAAGGACAATTCGGACAAGCGGGGACATTTCGCCGGTCCCCACAAGGAAAAAGGCTATTTTAGGCTTAGGGGTTAGGTTTAGGGTTACAATTAGGGTTACAGTTAGGGTTATAATTAGGGTTAGGGGTAATGGTTAGAATTAGGGTTAAGAGTTAAGGTTAGGGATAGGATTAGAGTTAGGGTTAAGTTAAGGTTAGGAAAAATAGGATTTTGGGAATCAATTGTTTGGTCCCCACAAGGATAGTAAAACATACAAACGTGTGTGTGTGTGTGTGTGTGTCTCAGTCACCAGATCGAAACCCAATTGAACCCTTATGGGCACTTGAGACAGCATTTTCCACCACCATCAACAAAACACCAAATTATGGAATTTCTCGTGGTGGTGTTTCCTTTAATTTGGCAGTTACAAATAGATTATAGACTTGAAACAAACTGGCATGAATAGTGAAACTCTTGGGGCCGGTTCCCCGGTCACAAAATAAGACTAGTCCCGAACACAGATTAAGCCTAGTCATTGGAGAATCTCCATTGAAAGTTATTTTCAGTCCAGGATTAGGCCTAATCTTTTTTTGATTAATATGTTGTTGTTGTTTTTTTACCCCTCTTTTTCTCCCCAATTTCGTGGTATCCAATTGGTAGTTACAGTCTTTGTCCCATCGCTGCAACCCCCGTACGGACACGGGAGAGGCGAAGGTCGAGAGTCGTGTGTCATCCGAAACACAACCCAACCGAGCCGCACTGCTTCTTGACACAGTGCCTGCTTAACCCGGAAGCCAGCCGCACCAACCTGGCGACCGAGTCAGCGTGCACTGCGTCCGGCCCGCCACAGGGGTCGCTAGTGCGCGATGGGACAAGGACATCTCTGCCGGCCAAACCCTCCCTACCCTGGACGACGCTGGGCCAATTGTGCGCCGCCCCATGGGTCTCCCGGTCGCGGCCGGCAGCGACAGAGCCTGGACTCGAACCAGGATCTCTAGTGGCACAGCTAGCACTGCGATGCAGTGCCTTAGACCACTGTGCCACTCAGGAGGCCGGATTAGGCCTAATCTGTGTCCGGGAAATCAAACCTAGTTGTCCAAGACTGGAGAATATACAACTTTAGACCGTTTTTCTTTCTCAAGGTATACTGACCTAACCTCTCATTTGTGTTCTCTATAGCCACCAGTGCAATCCAAGGATAACAATAGGTGCACTCTGGGTAATCTTAACTCCTCACTGTCCTATGCAGTGCAGATACAGTGTGTGGCCAATTACAAATGTACCCAGTGCCCCTGGAGCAAGTCTTTCACTGTCCCACCTGGTGAGTTTACCTTTTACCTAAAGCGACAATCTAGAAATCTTCTCAATGGTCTTACCAAAATAGTCAATCAATTCTCTATTCTACTGATCTACTAACGTTCAACATCAAATAAGCAAAATGTGTCCATTTTATTTAATATTTTTTAGAACTTAATGATAAGCCTGTCATTGAGATGGTAGAAGATTTTCCACAAACCAAAGGAAGTAGATTAGTGATCATAAAATGGAAGGTAACTTCACCTTACAAAAATACAATGTCAAAATACTACGTTTGTTAGTTAACCTGCATGATTTATAAACATAATATCTACAACAGATGTAGGTATAAAGTAATACAATAGTTTATTGCACTACACTATATGTAATATATATTGTATGAAGCTATGGTTAGGCCTGTAACCTTGCTCCTAAAATGTTCGTTCCAGTTTGCAGCCAGTGAGTTAGTGGAGGGCTACAGTGTGACTGTGGGGAAGGCCTCCGGAGAGGACCCCATTGAGACCTTCAACACCAGCAGGTCCCTACTCAGACTGGCCCTGTCTCACTCAGCCTACCACCTCACCATCACAGCCCTCAACAGGGCTGGGACCTCACCTACAGCACAAAGGACTATACCTCCACTGGACGACAAAGGTAGAAATAGCTATCTACCGTTAACCTCCAATATCGGGATCATACACTCTGGCCATGTTAGGATTTATTAACTATTTTTGCCTGAGCAGTAATATTAGTTCAGTTCAGTTTTTGCATCAGAAATGAATTACTAGTTGCTCTCCTGCTTAACAGTACACTGTTAAAATGAAGTGTTTTGTAACACTAAAACTAGTGGCAGCTGATCTGCCCCCAACGTTAAGACGAAACCTTAACATTGCTGGAGTTTTGAAACACGTGGTTGTAAGGGGTTTTGAGACAGATTTAAGGTGTACTGAAACATTCATCCTAAGGTGTTCTGAAACATGACATGGTGTGTTGTTACACCACGTAATCAAGAGTTGTGCAACACCTTGCAAGAGACTAACCCGTAAAAGGTTAAAAACACTATTATGGTGTTTCAAGTTCTGTTTAGTGCATAATTAGAACCCTTCTCTTTTGCTGTCATTTCCTCTCTCCAAAGCTCCTAAACACTATTATGGTGTTTTGAATCCTGTCTAGTGCAGAATTAGATCCCTTCTGGATTTTCCAAATACTGTAAATGGGAGTCTTGTTGAGTGAATTCCTTTTCTGTTTCCTTCTTCAATGTAATAACATTTTGTACTCATGTTGTCATTGACACATACTTTCTTGGATTGTTTTGGAGAGTTTTACCTGAATGTTTGGTGTGTTCTTTCCTGTCTGAGTTTCGTGAAGGACCTGAATACAGGGGCAGCGCCCACAAACTTGCCTGTTTTTATAGTTGACCATAGAGTTTGCTAGAGGGCACACCTGACATGAATGCCCTCTCTCCACCTCCATGTCCCAGACTGGGGAAATTCTAAACAGTACGGCAGCACAGTGTTTGAAGTTCACATTTGGCCTTTAATAATCTAAACATTTGTCTTCTGATATGGGGGCCGAAGTTCCTCACGGTAAGTGGGTGAGTGGGTAAAATTCCAAATAAATTTGGCATCTTACTGAATTCAGAATTTAGATTTGAGTGGATTTAACATGGAATGTTTTGACTTAAGTCCATGTTTTATTGAGTCCATGTTAAGTCTACTTATCTCAAGTCTGAATCGGGCCCAATGTGCTGAATGTAACAAGGGTGGTGTTAATACATTTGCGTTTACATCATTAAGCCGTTATGTATGTGTTATGATTATGACCAAAGGTGTCTGACTTTATAGTAAGTACAGCGTCATATGATACAAGGCATTTATGCATGTGTTATAAATGACCAAATGGGTCTGACTTTAAATTAAGTACAGCGTCATGCGATATAGTCTTTATGGATGTGTTATGAATGACAAAAGGTGTCTCACTTCAAACTAAGTATTACAGGACACTACATAAAGTGTCAATAAATAGGTTATTAACGTTCTGCTGATTTATGAAGGTTACTGTAGGGTGTGAGAGGTATTTAAATGGGTTGATGAACCTGAAAAGCTTGTGTGTGTGTGTGTGTGTGTGTGTGTGTGTGTGCGCACGTGCCAGAACCAAGATGAAATAGTCCAACCTGAGTCTACCGCACCAGGTATTCCTCTTCTGTTCCCATGCTGGAAACCAGGGCTTGATTATAACATGTTTCAATGGTGCCAACATTTTGTGGCTGATCTTTCAGTGGGGGAGTGGGTAAATGTGTCAAAGACCTGACTGGGCCCAGCACCACGCAGTATGGCTTGTTTTTGTTGTGTTTGTGTACTGAGAAACATGTAACTTGGTTTCAGAAGAAGGACACATTCAATGTATTTAGTTTGGGGGCTTTCATCAAGGTAAGTGTTTCTTGGTGTAATGTAATCCCCAGGCTATTGCACACACAGCACCTACAGTTGAAGTCAGAAGTTTACATACAATTAGGTTGGAGTCATTAAAACTCGTTTTTCAACCACTCCACAAATTTCTTGTTAACAAACTATAGTTTTGGCAAGTCGGTTAGGACATCTACTTTGTGCATGACACAAGTCATTTTTCCAACAATTGTTTACAGACAGATTATTTCACTTATAATTCACTGTATCACAATTCCAGTGGGTCAGAAGTTTACATACACTAAGTTGACTGTGCCTTTAAACAGCTTGGAAAATTCCAGAAAATGATGTCATGGCTTTAGAAGCTTCTGATAGGCTAATTGACATCATTTGAGTCAATTGGAGGTGTACCTGTGGATGTATTTCAAGGCCTACCTTCAAACTCAGTGCCTCTTTGCTTGACATCATGGGAAAATCAAAAGAAATCAGTCAAGACCTCAGAAGAAAATGGTAGACCTCCACAAGTCTGGTTCATCCTTGGAAGCAATTTCCAAACACCTGAAGGTACCACATTCATCTGTACAAACAATAGTACGCAAGTATAAACACCATGGGACCACGCAGCCGTCATACCGCTCAGGAAGGAGACGCGTTCTGTCTCCTAGAGATGAACGTACTTTGGTGTGAAAAGTGCAAATCAATCCCAGAACAACAGCAAAGGACCTTGTGAAGATGCTGGAGGAAACAGGTACAAAAGCATCTATATCCACAGTAAAACGTGTCATATATCGACATAACCTGAAAGGCCGCTCAGCAAGGAAGAAGCCACCGCTCCAAAACCGCCATAAAAAAGCCAGACTACAGTTTGCAACTGCACATGGGGACAAAGATCGTACTTTTTGGAGAAATGTCCTCTGGTCTGATGAAACAAAAATAGAACTGTTTGGCCATAATGACCATTGTTACGTTTGGAGGAAAAAGGGGGTCACTTGCAAGCCGAAGAACACCAGCCCAACCGTGAAGCACGGGGGTGGCAGCATCATGCTGTGGGGGTGCTTTGCTGCAGGGGGGACTGGTGCACTTCACAAAATAGATGGCATCATGAGGAAGGAAAATTATGTGGATATATTGAAGCAACATCTCAAGACATCAGTCAGGAAGTTAAAGCTTGGTCGCAAATGGGTCTTCCAAATGGACAATGACCCCAAGCATACTTCCAAAGTTGTGGCAAAATGGCTTAAGGACAACAAAGTCAAGGTATTGGAGTGGACATCACAAAACCCTGACCTCAATCCTATAGAACATTTGTGGGCAGAACTGAAAAAGCGTGTGCGAGCAAGGAGGCCTACAAACCTGACTCTGTTACACCAGCTCTGTCAGGAGGAATGGGCCAAAATTCACCCAACTTATTGTGGGAAGCTTGTGGAAGGCTACCCGAAAACGTTTGACCCAAGTTAAACAATTTAAAGGCAATGCTACCAAATATTAACCCACTGGGAATGTGATGAAAGAAATAAAAGCTGAAATAAATCATTCTCTCTACTATTATTCTGACATTTCACATTCTTAAAATAAAGTGGTGATCCTAACTGACCTAAGACAGGGCATTTTTACAAGGATTAAATGTCAGGAATTGTGAAAAACTGAGTTTAAATGTATTTGGCTAAGGTGTATGTAAACTTCCGACTTCAACTGTATAAGCCTGGGATATCAACCATTCAAATTTGGCCTTAGTGGGAGTGACCATAGAATTCTACTTAAAACATTCAAAAATGTATAATTATGGCTAAACCCTGCCCTTTCCCACAATTAATCTTCTTAAAATGTGATTTTAAACCTAACCCTAACTAATTAAGGCAATTTTTGATGCGTTGGTCCACCAGACCTTCCGTACATTTGGGGTGGAAGTGTCTGGGAACAAGATTTGGTGTAATGTGACTAACATGACATCACTTTAGAACGTATGCCATCCTTCAGCACAACATGTCACCCTTTATAAAGCACATGTTTATATCATATTCGACATAGTGGGTTATGTCACATATGGCATTGGTGATTGTCACACAGTCATGCCACATTTATGAACCCATTATAAAGCATGACATACGGTTATAGGTGCTTTGTAACACATTTATGTAGTGCTTATGAAGGCATTATGAAGGCTTTATGAAGCCTTTACTAGCTGAACGTCATTTAAAGCGGGACCAAAATGGTCAATTAATATATTGTCTGAAAATCATCTTCAATCAATATTTACACTATAAACCATTGGCATTTCAAAACCATTTGATTTTATGAGAGACACACAGTCTGCCATTTGTGTTTTGATGCTGCCTTTTACATGCACTGAAACACCAACAATGGTTTTCACAAGACTCTCTTATAAAAAAGAAGAGTCTAAGCCCTGTCTAAACCAGGGGAGGTTCTACTAAGCTATATGGAATTGTTTTAAGAAGGTCATACCAAGGATCATTTTGATTTAGAATTTTAAAACCTCTTGATGTATCCCCCCCTCAATTTTTTTATAAAATATTTTATTTGGCGTTATTGCTATTAGCCCATACAAACACATTGAATAACAGATTCACTATGTGGAACAACAGAAGTGTCTGTCCTATATATGAGAGATATAAGAAAGATCAGGAAACATACACATATATATATATATATTTTTTTTTTAACATGTATTTAACCCCTTATTTTTGGCACTAAACAGTCTCCACATATACACTACCGTTCAAAAGTTTGGGGTCTCTTAGAAATGTCCTTGTTTTCGAAAGAAAAGCAAAAAATTGTGTCCATTAAAATAACATCAAATTGATCAGAAATACAGTGTAGACACTGTTAATGTTGTAAATGGCTATTGTAGCTGGAAACGGCTGATTTTTTTATGGAATATCTACATAGGCGTAGAGAGGCCCATTATCAACAACCATCAGTTCTGTGTTCCAATGGCATCTTGTGTTTTTTTATTTATTTTTGTTATATATATTAATTTTTTTTGGGGGGGGGGGGTGTAGATCATCTTAATATTGCAGATAGATTGTAACTTCCATCAATGTAATTGTCTGCATCACTTCCAATCCCCCATGTTTTTATATATATATATACCATATTTCAGACGCTACAGACGATTTTGTGAGAAGACCGATTTTCAGGATGTCCCATGGTCTGACATACACTGCTCTAGCTCTGTCACCTTTCATCACAGATGCGGAAGTGCGACATTGGCAGATGCGGTGGATTGAGACGCATCCAATGCAAAAAAACAGATACTGTAGCTCTAGCTTAAACTGAAAGATTTGTATGGGGATATTTGTATTATGCTAATTAGATATCGACTCTAGGGGGTTAAAAACACCAATATTCAGATTGAAGAACCACTTTTGTAATTTTAGAATACTTACATTCTGTTTTGAAATACATTCAGAGTATTGTAACACTTACATTGAGTTTACATTCAAACACCCCCCAAACACCATATCTCAGCTTAGGTGCACCACTTTTCATGGTTTCACTACACAATGATGGGGTTTTGAGTCTTTCTATTTTAACAGTGTATGAAATCAGTCTGTTGAAGTGGGACATCTCATAGATATCTCAGATGCAGGAGAAAGGGCCTTGACGTGTTGTTTGGTTTGTCTCTACAGTCTTATATGGGAAGCTGAATGTGACATTCAATGGCAACACGTCCTTCACTGTCTCCTGGGTGGATGACCTGATCAAAACCTACTCCTGCTTCTCAGTGGAGTGGTGGAGGAGAGGAGAGAAAGCTGCCTACAAGTCCTTCTATGAGGATGAGAACAACTATGAAGTCATACAATTGAATGGTAGGGTACATACCTCTCTCCTGTGTTAACATGAAAACAACAGAGGATTCACATATTCAGATACAGCATATTATCATAACCAGAACTACACATTGCATATGTTTAACAGATATAAGCTGCCTACCACAAATCCAGTTTGTCCTGATGAAAGATGTTTCTCTTGTTGTTGTATAAACTATAGAGCCATTAGAGCAGTATAAGAGGTACACCTTCACTCTGCACACGAGGCCAGACAAAGAGCCCTGCAACCTGAAGTTCATCAACAACAGCGAGAGCACCTACGGGAGCGTCCAGGCCTTCTTCACTGAAGGATGTGAGTCTAAAATTAAACTGATATTAAGGCCACACTTCCATTAAAATCAAATCAAATTGTATTTGTCACACGCACCGAATACAACAGGTGTAGACCTTACAGTGAAATGCTTACTTACAAGCCCTTAACCAACAATGCAATTTTAAGAAAGAATACCAAAACAAAAATACCACAAAAACATTAAATAAAAAAATAAGCTCTCAACCTGCTCCACTACAGCCCTGTCGATGAGAATGGGGGCGTGCTCGGTCCTCTTCTTTTTCCTGTAGTCCACAATCATCTCATTTGTCTTGATCACGTTGAGGGAGAGGTTGTTGTCCTGGCACCACACGGCCAGGACCCTGACCTCCTCCCTATAGGCTGTCTCATCGTTGTATGTGATCAGGCCTACCACTGTTGTGTCATCGGCAAACTTAATGATGGTGTTGGAGTCGTGCCTGGTCATGCAGTCATGGGTGAACAGAGAGTATAGGAGGGGACTGAGCACGCACCCCTGAGGGGCCCCCGTGTTGAGGATCAGTGTGGCAGATGTGTTGTTACCTACCCTTACCACCGTGGGGCGGCCCGTCAGGAAGTCCAGGATCCAGTTGCAGAGGGAGGTGTTTAGTCCCAGGGTCCTTAGCTTAGTGATGAGCTTTGAGGGCACTAAGGTGTTGAACGCTGAGCTGTAGTCAATGAATAGCATTCTCACATAGGTGCAATAGAGATTGCATCATCTGTGGATCTGTTGGGGCGGTATGCAAATTTTGTGGGTCTAGGGTTTCTGGGATAATGGTGTTGATGTGAGCCATGACCAGCCTTTCAAAGCACTTCATGGCTACAGATGTGAGTGCTACGGATCGGTAGTCATTTAGGCAGGTTACCTTTGTGTTCTTGGGCACAGGGACTATGGTGGTCTGCTTGAAACATGTTGGCACTTAACATCTCCTTGGGGTTGTAGTAGATTAAACCAGTACTAGAGTAGAACACAAGGGGCATCTCATCATCACACAAACACATACCATAAGCGAAGACACAGGGAGCCACTTCATATACTTACTTACAAGCTGGTTACAGTATAAGTACATGACACCTTAGCACCTGTATGTCTAAATCAATCAACCAACAAACCAATTAATCATAAATGCATTGTGATCAGATTCAGTGTCTTTTCCTCTCAGCCCCTATCAGTGCCCCAGGGAACATCAGCACCAATGTTAGCCAGAGTTCCGTGGTGCTGAAGTGGACGGCTGTCCCTGAGGAGGACAACAGAGGTTTCCTGCTGGGCTACGTCCTCCACTACACAGATAGGCTGCAGGATGGGACAGATGCTGAAACAAGTAAGATTGATTGATGTATTGTTTATTTAGATGTTTACAAACAGGTGCCAAGTTGATGTTGGCCTAAGAGACGTGCAGTGAGTGATTATTCATACAGTAGAATGTGCATAAAGTACAGTGTGAGCAACTTCTGCCTTTTACATGTCTCACGTAGAATGTTTTATAGTTTGTGACTAATATCCTATAAATATGTACAGTTCTTTTTTTAAAATAAGTTAAGCCTTCTTGCACACTATCAGATATTCTTACCGCCACGTCTAGTTCCCAAAAGGCTAGAGTTTTAAACGAGAATCGTTGTTTAAGTAGTAACTTCCTTAAAATGATTGTGGTGTTACTACTTCTTATTCTGATGCGTCACTGACTTTTTTAAACTATTGGTGTTCTCGCTGTAACAGACATCACTGTGGATGCTGCTTCAACCAGCTATGAGTTGGTAGACCTAAAGAACAGTACTGTGTACCGGGTCCAGTTGTCTGCCTTCACTAGTGCAGGAATGGGAGTGAGAAGCTCAGCTGCATACTTTGAAACCAAACCAGGTTTGCTTGTTGATCTATCACCAATGGTTATATTGCAATGAAAATCTCTGATTTCCCACATTTTGAATGCCAGACCAATACTGTCTTCTTTCCCTTCCCAGCATCCCTGACTGTGAGCAGTGCGATAGCAGGGGCCATTGTTGGAGTAACTTTACTATTACTTGTGGTTTATCTCGGCTCTCAGTTGTTAAAAAGGTACAGTCATCATGTTTTTAGGCAAAGGTGCATTTATATCTATTAGTTTTGCTTTGTTCTTAACTGTTGTCCAGTGAAATTCAAGTGATGGAAACCTTGAATGAATTCCATGGCAACATGTATTTTCAGAGCAAAGAAACTACTTTGGCCGAGTATCCCCAATCCAGGTAACAGCAATGCCATCCAGAAAATATATGGGGTCTGCGATCTGGTAAGAACATTGTATAATGATGCAGGAGAGTTTCATAACATTTTTATAGCATGTCTCAGATCATGCCCTGTTGCTGTTGGTTTTCTTCCGCCTCCGGGACAATAAAGATTGAGTGATTGATTCTCATAGGAACTCCTGGAGCTCATCAACCGACAGAAGGAAGAGGAGGGGGACTCCAACAGTCTACACGTTGTCGACGGAAGAGAAGAAATGTCTCCCGTTAGCAACCTCCATAGCAATGCTGACTCATGTCTGCACTTCAACACAGACTACGAGGAGAGCCAAGGGCCTTCTCTGTCAACCATAGCCACAGACAGTAGAGCTCAAGATCCCACTTCTGACACCATTACATCTATTCCCACAGACATTAGACAGACAGACCCTGTCCTCATCAGTACGGTTGCCCACCAGTGCCAACCGTTGGCCTTTCTGAGTGATTACACCACCATGGAACTCTTCCAACAGGCTATGCCACAGTGTGTTCCAGACACTACGTCATCATCATTGTCATCATTGGAACCCCAGGGTCAGTCAAGCCAGTCAGAGGACACATACTGAGCCAGGGTTAGACTCAGACCAGAGTTAGATTACATCCACCAGACCCAAGGCAGCACCAGTCCAACTCAGAACACTGAGGTGTATACCACGGGTCATTGAGAATGTTTACTGTAGATTCTAGAATCTGCTTTTCTCACTGAGATGCTGTGCAACCATTCTAGGCCTTTCTCTATGTAACAGAGTCATCGGCTGCCATCAGTGTCTCACTGTTGACTAGCATACTCTTAGGTGTTTGAGTGGTTCTGGACCGGTTCCGACTGACATTTTGGTGTACCAAGCGCTCTGTGAACGCCGCAGGGTCCCGTGCCTTATAATGCCGAAAAGCCCCATCTGTCTGCCGTCCCATTTCCACTCTCTAAGCAGAGCTGACTTGAAGTGTCACGTTTCAGACCCGACATTTGCATAGGCAGTGACGTGTCACATTTCTGGCCTATCCAAACAATGAATTGATTATCTCTTCCTCTGAGCCCAGCTTGGGAGACAGCAAATGAACAGTGACAGTCTAACGATACCATCCCTTGTGGTTTCATCTCACTGTGATATTCTCAGAAACCATTTTATTTTATTCTCTGTTTACGTAAACTGGCATAGTGAACCTGTCCAACATCAGAAACATAGGCATACAGGTAACTGCCGGAACAGCTTCAAAGTTCCTTGGCATGGATTCTAGAAGTGTCTGGAACTCTATTGGAGGAATGCAACACCATTCGTCCACGAAAACGCTGGTGGTGGAAAATGCTGTCTCAGACGCCGGTGCTGATACTCCCATAAGTGTTTAATTGTGTTGAGATCTGGTGACACACACCCTTTAAACCCCCTATGCTCCCTTGAGACACCTCTTTCAAAGTCACTTCTTCTAGCCATGGTAGCCAAAATAATAGCCAACTGGGCATTTTATACATGACCCGAAGCATGATAGGATGTTCATTGCTTAATTAAGTCAGGAACCACACCTGCGAGGAAGCACCTGCTTTCAATAAACTTTGAATCTCTCATTTACTCAAGTGTTTCCTTTATTTTGGCAGTTACCTGTAGATACACTATATATACAAAAGTATTTGGACAACCCTTCAAATTAGTGGTTTCGGCCATTTCAGCAACACCCTTTGCATAAAATCGAGCAGACAGCCATGCAATCTCCATAGACAAACATTGGCAGTAGTCTGGCCTTACTGAAGAACTCTGTGACTTTCAACGTGGCACCGTCATAAGATGCCACCTTTCCAACAAGTCCGTTTGTCAAATATCTGCCCTGCTAGAGATGCCCCGGTCAACTTTAAGTGCTGTTATTGTGAAGTGGAAACGTCTAGGAGCAATAACGGCTCAGCCGCGAAGTGGTAGGCCACACAAGCTCACAGAATGGGGCCTCCCGAGTGGCGCAGCGGTCTAAGGCACTGCATCGCAGTGCTTGAGGCGTCACTACAGACCCGGGTTTGATCCCAGGCTGTGGCACAGCCGGCCATGACTGGGAGACCCATGAGGCGGCGCACAATTGGCCCTGTGTCGTCCGGGTTATGGGAGGATTTGGCTGGCCAGGATTTCCTTGTGATCTGCCCGAATGCATAGTGCCAACTGTAAAGTTTAGTGGAGGAGGAATAATGGTCTGGGGCTGTTTTTCATGGTTCGGGCTAGGCCCCTTAGTTCCAGTGAAGGGAAATCTTAACGCTAAAGCATACAATGACATTCTAGATGATTCTGTGCTTCCAGCTTTGTGGCAACAGTTTGGGTAGGCCCTTTCCAGTTTCAGCATGACAATGCCCCCGTGCACAAAGCTAGGTCCATACAGAATTGGTTTGTCGAGATCGGTGTGAAAGAACTTGACTGGCCTGCACAGAGCCCTGACCTCAACCCCATTGAACACCTTTGGGATGAATTGGAATGCCGACTGCAAGCCAGGCCTAATCACCCAACATCAGTGCCCGACCTCACTAATGCTCTTGTGGCTATATGGAAGCAAGTCCCCACAGCAATGTTCCAACAACTAGTGGAAAGCCTTCCCAGAAGAGTGAAGGCTGTTATAGCAGCAAAGGGTTGGACTAACTCCATATTAATGCCCATGATTTTGGAAAGAGATATTCAACGAACAGGTGTCCACATACTTTTGGTCATGTAGTGTATGTTTGGGGCAAATCCAATACAACACATTACTGAGTACCTCTCTTCATATTTTCAGGCATAGTGGTGGCTGCATCATGTTATGTGTATGCTTGTAATAGTTAAGGACTGGGGAGTTTTTCAGGATAAAAAAGAAACGGAATGGAGCTAAGCACAGGTCAAATCCTAGAGGAAAACCTGGTTCAGTCTGCTTTCCACCAGACACTGGGAGACAAATTAACCTTTCAGCAGGACAATAACCTAAAACACCAAAATAACCAAAAGGCCAAATCCACACTGGAGTTGCTTACCAAGAACACAGTAAATGTTCCTGAGTGGCTGAGTTACCATTTTGACTTAAATCTATTTGAGAATCTATGGCAAGACCTGAAATGGTTGTCTAGCAATGATCAACAATGAATTTGACAGAGGTTAAAGAATTTTGACAATAATAAATGGGCAAATATTGTACAATCCAGGTGTGCAAAGCTCTTAGAAAGTTACCCAGAAAGACTCACAGCTGTAATCGCTGCCAAAGGTGGTTCTACAAAGTATTGACTCAGGGGTGTGAATACTTATGTTTATGAGATATTTCTGTATTTCATTTTATTTGCTAAAATTTCAAAAACATGTTTTCACTTTGTCATTATGGGGTATTGTGTGTAGATGGGTGAGAAAATGTTTGAATTCAGGCTATAACGCAACAAAATGTGGAATAAGTCAAGGGGTATGAATTAGGGGTGTAACGATCCATCTACTACATCGATGTATCGATTTATATTCCTATGATCCAACTACATCGATCTGTGCTCGGCGTGTTGGCCTTTTGGACAACATATATCAATCTAACATCGTTTTAAAATGTAATAAATCGATTGTATCGATACTAGGAAATAACCCATTGGATTTAAGCACGTCAGACTTTATATGGATGTTTTTTCTTAGCACTTTTAATGATAAAGGCTTTAAACATTACTCGATTCAGTCTGCCTATCCGTGACGTCATCGCCCCGCGCCAGCAGCAGCGCAAAGGCGCAAAGACAACAAAACATAGCATGGCGGACGACAGAGGAGAAGCCGACGAGCGAGAAATTATCAAGCCACCATTGCGGTCCTTACAAGAAACAGGAATCTAGGAAACTTCACCTGCACTGTCCAGTATCCAGGTATTTATTTCAGTCACACTGGTTGAATTTTTGGCTAAAAGGTTACTGAATCGATTTCAAGTCACTGAATCGTTTCGGATCGTATCGTTCTAAATGAACCAATATCGTCCTTGAATCGTATCGACAACCACGAATCGTGAGACAAATCGAATCGTTGTTAAAACGAATCGTTACACCCCTAGTATGAATACTTTCTGAAGGCACTGTATGAATTGATTTATCCAGGGAAGTCATATTGAGATTGACATCTCTTTTTCAAATGCACCCTGGCCAAGAAAAGCAGCAAAAAAAAAAAGCACATACATTTTAGTCATTTAGCAGACGCTCTTATCCAGAGCGATTTACAGTTAGTGAATGCATACATTTTCATACTGGCCCCCGTGGGAATCGAACCCACAACCCTGGCGTTGCAAGCACCATGCTCTACCATCTGAGCTACTTGGGGCCATACACACTGTAAATTGTCATGTACAAACTGTGCAATTGTTTGTCATAAAAATAGTATAGAAAGAGAAGGAGTCATGATTTTAAAAAACTGTCCTGTGCCAGCAGTGCTTCTATTGTGATTAAAATCCTCAATTGTAATAATTATAATTATAGCCCCGTGTAGCTCAGTTGGTAGAGCATGGCGTTTGCAGCGCCAGGGTTGTGGGTTCGATTCCCACGGGGGGCCAGTATGAAAATGCACTAACTGTAAGTCGCTCTGGATAAGAGCGTCTGCTAAATGACTAAAATGTAAAATGTAATAAAATTGTCAAGTTTCAAGTAATTTTGCCAAGAGTTACAGGATGATGGGGCAGCATTGCTAAAAGCACTCTTGGCTAAAAGGGACTCAAATTGCCACTTTCATCATGAGTTTCAAAATAATTGTTTGTGATACAAATGTTAAAAGCATTTCAAACATCCTTCCTCCCAATGAAGTTTCTATGTGAGAATTGCCAGAACAATCTGAGATACCAAAAATATTTTCCACTCCTATGGTGTGGAATTTCCCTTTTGCCAAACTCAGACCTAGACCTTTAGCTTGCCTCACCTCAAACTACTGATTTGAACATTCGATTCTATTTCACACCACATACTTTTTCTTGGTATTTCATACTTCAATGTAACACTAAAGATTACAAACAGATATTGCAGGAAAGAATAGGTGAGGCCCAAAATCTATCTAAGCTATGCGCAACACTGTTTACTCTACACACACATTATACAAAACAACACTTGCAGTGGAAAGTCCCCCATGGTTAAAAAACGTGTCAAAAGTATATGTGCTGTGAAGAACCCCAAGTAAGCTGTCTGCAGATTGTTATCAATTCTAGAGTTTCACAGAGAGTTGCTCTTTAGCGCTGTCAGTGAGAAGTAGGTCAGTGTTCCGAGACAGGCTTGGGGACGTGCAGATATTATGCAACTTATTACAGTGATGATAAGCAGAAAACAAAACGCTGAAGAATACGGTAAAGGACTACAATATGACACAAATACAGTGAACTGCACTTACGATTAGGGCTGGATGTGGAAGTCAGTAACTATACCACAATACCACCTATACTATACCGTCTTCTCACCTTCATAGCTATGGGCTTGCACTCCATCTTCTCTTTATCTCTGCTGCTCTTCATCCTGGTGGACATCTGCCTCCTTTCCATGCTACCATCCCTTGCTTTCTCCCTCTTTTTGTATTTCTTTCCTCTGTAAACGGGCAACACAACCATTAATAACCACCAGATTTATGTAGTCCTA